GAGAAAAAAGTGAGAATTGGAAGATTTAAAATCATGATTTAGAGGGAAAAAAGTGAGAATTGTGATATTTAAAATCATGATTTAGAGAAAAAAGTGAGAATTGCGAGATGTAAAAATAGAATTCATAGAAAGAAGTCGGAACTGCAAGAAAAAATGTATTCTGAATTCTGAGTTTATATGTTGGAACTCTTTTCTCAATTTTCTCAATGTCACAATTTTTTTTTCTTTTTTTTTCTTATCCTGTGGTGGAAATGGGCTTCCATAATACCTTTCTTTTTCTTTTTCTTTTTAATTTTTTTTCCTGCGTTGCCAATATGCATTGACGGAATAACAAACAAAAACCTGTTTACACTAATGACGTCTAAGGGTACAATTGCGTTGAGATTTACATTGCAAGTGCATTACAGTGAACATGCTTTTGTTTGCTTTCTGTTATGAGAAGTGATGGAATTATTTTCCGTGATAATTAATAGAAAGTTGCATTTAATATCTCTTTGATAGTTCTTTTTTGTTGTCCAAACGGAGTCTATCAAGTAATGTACGGTAATTGTGGCCTAATTGTAAGCTTTTTAAAACAAATTTTTATTTGGATAAAAATATTTGACTAATAGCAATTCAATATTTAATCCAGCAGATTGTGTGTAAGTTGTCAAAGCCACCCTGAATGTTATCTATACACAATATTTTCATCAAATAAACAAAGACAGAGGAGTAAAACAATGAGAAGAGACGATCATGCATATAAGATGATCAGGGAAACCAGACGAGACTGAAACATTAAAAGAACTTTATAGAAAAACCTTCACAAAGGTTACCTTCGAAGCCGAACTTTCTGCTTTCTGCACCAGCGAATCGGAAACAAAATAGCCATTAGCCAGCTTACATGAAAAACTTTAGCCTCACGCTCACAGCTGCACACACTTCAGCAAAGCACATTTACAGAAACTGTGAAAGAAGAGTATCAGGCTTTCTTCTGAAATACTTACGGAGTCTGGGAGACGGCAGAGACTCATCAACTTCTCCTTTGAATCCTAAATGAAGTATCACACATAATGATAAGACCTTCTGTTTTTCTGTTTTATCAAAGAATTGGAAAAATGTTCTTTTTATGATCCTTTTGAAACCATAACAACCCAGTTTACAATTTGCTTGATCTATTGCTTGTGATGAAATTGTCAGCAATATTCAAAAATTCTATTGGTACATTTCAGTCACATGACTTTTTCATATATATCACATATTTAACAAAGTAATGGCGATGAATACAAAACCACAACACATCAAATAAATAAACCTTACAATTACTAAAATAGATTAATAGGACATCTATTCAAGACAACAGGAAGTCTTGAAATCCTGCGTATTAATTACGGTAGATGCTGTATTGATACTTTTAATAAGCTAAAATTCAGGACTTTTTTGGTGAAGATTTAGGTGATCACTAGATGTTCTCTGTCGGTCAAAAGTTTGGAATAATTAAGTTTTTTTTTTTATGTTTTTGAAATAAGTCTCTTATACTCACTGCATTTATTTAATCAAAATTGCAGAAAAACAGTAATATTGTGAAATATTATTACAATTTAAAATAACTGTTTACTATGTGAATATATGTGACACTGAAGACTGGAGTAATGATGCCGAAAATTCAGCTGCGCATCCCAGAAATAAATAACATTTTACAATATATTCACATAGAAAACATTTATTTTTAAATTGTAATAATATTTCACAATATTACTGTTTTTACTGTATTTTGGGGCAAATAAATGCAGCCTTGTTGAGCAGAAGAGACTTCTTTCAAAATCATGAGTATTCCAGACGTTTTGACCGGTAGTGTTGCTGCTATGACTGTTATTGTTCTCATTAGGATGAGTTTAGGATGATTCATTTCAAACCTACTTTTGACGACAACAGAAGCAAAAGCAGAGGTCTCGCCCTTGCTGTTCATGGCCGACACACGATACTGTGCAGTGTCATCGAAGTCACACCTGGAATTACAGACAGACATGTTGCACACACGACCACTGCATATCACTGTAATTGCTTCAAGAGGAAGAAATCCATGTGCGCTCACTTGTTAATCTCCAGGGCGTGGACGCTGTAGCTGCTCTCCACTTTGTACTTCCCTGGCTTGGCCATTGGATCAATGCTAACATTGTTCTTGTACCTAAGAGAGAAGAACAGATTGAAATACTATGGGATAATGTAGTGCATCAGAGCTTTTTGACTGAAAAGTAGAGGCTGAAGGCCAAGTTCATCCTCCAGAGCATCTCAATCCAAATCCAAATGCACTGAAAAAAAAATTGCTCACTCAGAAATTGCTAGTGCATTTCACAATTATTACACGTTAAAAAGGACTCGAAATGCTGCATTATGCATGCTAGGCCAGTAGTTGGCGATGTTACTTCGTAAAGAACATGTAATATGTATGCACTTGATGTCACTGTTTCACAAATTTGCATTTTTTGTAGTTTACATGGAGCGGATAATGTTTTTATTTTCAAAAACGTACACTTTGAAACCCGTTTTCAAAGGTTTTCAGGCCCCTGAAATGTCATGTAAATGAACGGCCAAAACAAATAAAAAGTTTTCTGGTTTTAGTTGAAAACGTAAATGAAGTACAAAAGGAGAAGACAGGGTGTTTGTCACACGTTATTATAGTTAACTAAAACTAAAACAATTTCATTACTTGAAATAAAATCAACTTTAACTTGAATAAAATATATAAAACAAAAAAAATTGTATTTCAACTTTTTAATTCAGTTTAATTTTATGTACTAAAATGACTTAAACCGAAATAAAAATTAATAAAAACTACATGGACATAATAAAAATCACAAAAAAAAATGAATGAAAATGACAAAAACGCATAAAAATTCCCAAAACCTCATGTAAAAATATTCAGAAAAAAAATCAAAATATCAATAATAACTATAATAGGGTCTCAGTCATACTAAAATAACACTGCTTATCACATTATAATCTTGATGTAATGCAACCATCATACATCTGTAATCATGTGTGTTTGTGCGTGTGAACTCACCACACAACGCGTGGTTCAGGCCATCCTGAGATGGTACAGTGCAGCCGCACACACTGTTTCTCCCAAACAGTGTGAGATCGTGGCTTGATCACAAACTCGGGCGTGTGCATCAGGCTGTCCTCGTTCAGACGCTTATGGTACTCTTCGTTCTCATGGATCTGAGGGCATGCAGCCATTCATATAATGTTTAGAAAGTGGCAATGTTGTTTGGTCATAAATGCATTACGAGCATGCTTTAAAAAATGTAATGCATTTATGACCAAACGCATTACTATGTCAAGATGCAAACTTCCCAAAGGAATGTTCTGCATTCAAGTTAAGCTGAGAATATTTCGACCAATCCATTGATTTGTAAAAACAACAACAGATTTGTTTACAATGGAAATCTAAAATGCGAGGCACTGCAATGGAATAAACATTAAAATACACTCTTCTGAAACTATAACCACAAGAATCAATCATTATACATGTTACGTGAGATTAGATAGAATTTTTACTAACCTTGTTTGTGCAAATTAAATATTTCTGCTTCTGTCATAATTATCCCTTGTGAAAAAGAAGTGCACACTAAAAAGAGCATTTATTACGGAAATTCTATACTTTAAAAGAATATACTTAAAGTGAGTGTAATTTTTTTAGACACTTAAAAGCATGTTAACTGCAAATAAATGAAAATGTATTATAGGTTAAATTTATATTAACTGCAGTTAGCTGAACTAAAGAGTGCTTTTCATGACCCACTTAAGTAGGACTTAAGTACATCTTTATATGTAATTTCTTAATTTCTTTTATTGCTTTCAAGTATGGTTAAAGTACTGCTGAATGTACTGTCAAGGATTGATGATAGACTAAAATATACTTTAATGTAATTTCTATTGGAGCTATTGTAATTATACATTTGTAAGGATTCAGTTGCAATATAGTACATTTAAAAGATATTTTTATATTTTACAATATAATTTTAACAATTAAAAATTTGGACAAATTAGAATTATAATCAAATACTTTCCATGTGCTTTAGTATGTTGGTCAACACATCAAAATAAGTGTACTTCTTTAAAACATGACAAAGGATTTTTAAAGCATAATTATTTAAAATTAAGTTTAATTTTACATTATTACAGTGTGTACTTTTTAAAAGTGTACTTAAGTGTGGTAAGAAACAGTTATGTAGGTGTCTCTTATGAAAGTCACTTAAGTTACCTTTATTTCATTAATATTATCTGCAATGAAATTTTTATATATATATACTTTAAAGACTACAAGTGCACATTTAATACAGTTAATTGAACTTCTTTTTGACAAGGGATGTTAAGGTGATTTGCCAAAAGATGATTTACAAAGATAAAATCCACCCAGAGGAATTACAGTAATGCATGGTAAACATGAATGTGACTTCTCCCATTAAAACAGATTCACAAAATAGCTGTACAAAATGTGATGAGCATTCATAATGTGTTCATTAAAGGTGCTGTATGTAAGTTTTTGACTCTACTAAAGCATAAAAATACCATAATATGTTTGCAGATATTTAAGAAACATGCTAAGTTAACATACTTGTTTATCTGAAAAACAATGCTACAGTCAAGTTATTCTTCTTTGAAAATGTGCGTTCCGGGCCGGAATGTCGATCTTTGTTTTGGTTTGTGAAACCCACCCACTGCCAGTTTACCCAATTGTATTTCGGCACCCCGGGTTGCCAGTTGGCGGAAAACACAGCGTATTTCATTTCATTCATTTCGTTCCTGTTGGTGTCTCAATCTGGCAACCTCAAGTCTGAGGAGGAGGGGCCGGGTGAAAAAAACCCGCTCCAATACTTTGAATTTGGACTGCAATCCCTAGTTCAACCACTCGGTGTCAATCCTACATACAGCACCTTTAAGACTCAATCTGTTCAACAGAACATTCATCAGGATCAAGTGCCTCCTTACAAGTCATTGGTTTTATTTGTCCAGTCATGTCAGTGTAAATATAATCTCCTTGAGGAGGATACTTGTCGACAACAGTAGTTTCATAGTCACTTTAACACACACCACAGATTAACACACACCACACAACCACATAAAACATTACAACCCTTGAAATCTGGCACCACGGTGGCACGATTGGTTGGCACCAGGATCAGAACTAAATAAAGTTTGTGTCGTGATACTTTCTTGCTCTTTTTCTATCTAAAAATAGGGAACATACAGTATGCTTGAGTTTAATAGAGTTCTTCAAACCCTGCAATCAAAGCAAACCCAAATGCATCTCCTGTTGCACAATTAGTTCAAAACAACAAAATTCTCATCTTCGAACAATAAATTAGTTCAAACAATAAAATTCCCAACTATTCACTGAATGTGTAATTTTACCTTCATGTTAAGTAACATGGGCAAAATCAGTTTGCACATGTATGAGTTTGTAGTTATAAAAGGATAAATCATCAATTGTTGCAGCACTACTAAAAATAATTTTCATTTTCTGAATAGAATGAGTGTCAATTTATGTCTGTATGGGATGTTTTTGACTGTTTTGTCAGATTTGGACTGTTTTGTCCTTCAGATGTACAATCTGAGTTACCATTGAAGTCCATTGAGTTATGTGCTTAAGTTTAGTACACAGGGTTAGAAGATTGTTCAAATAGTGATGCTTTTCTACACTTGTGAAAAAGGGCACTTAATTGTACTGAATGTGCACTTGAAGTATACTTCAAATCTTAAAACTATATATATTTTTAAAATGTATTTACAGATAATATAATATTAATGAAATAAAATGCCACTTAAGTGACTTAAAGAGGGACACGTTTATGACTGTTTCTAAGCACACTTAAGTACACTTTTAAAAAGTCAACTTTGTAATAATGTCAAATTGAAAGTTTTACTTTAAATCATTGTTTCAATCTTTTGTCTTGCTTTAAATTTAGTACACTTATTTTGATGTGTTGACTAACATACTAAAGCACATGTAAAGTGTTTGATTATAATTTTAACTGTAGTGTGTTATTCAGTACTACATTTAAAGTTAATATTTGTATGCACTACATTGCAACTTACAAATGTGTAATTACAAATATATTTAAGTACATGGCATACAAGTTTCAATAGAAAAGACATTAAAGTACAATTTATTTACCATAAATGCTTGTTTATATAAAGATGTACTTAAGTCCCATGTAAGTGGGTCAAAAAAGTACTCAGCTTAATTTGCATTTCAACTATAAAAATTGCATTTAATTGCAAATAAAATGCAGTTAATGGTAGTAAAGTATTTCAATCAGTTTGCACCTAAGTATAGTCTTTTAAAGTATATTATTTCCATACTAAGTATTCTTTTAATGTATGTGCTTCTTTTCACAAGGGTAATAAAGCAAGAGAGCTGTGAGAGCCGTGTTGTAGCTCAGTCCAACAGTTTGTAGTTGTTAAAATGTCAATTTAAGTGAGAAGTGTTGAAGAGAAATGTATAATTAATCTCTAACCACAACAGCAGTAGTGAGTTATGTGTTTAGGAACAGGACTAGGATCTCCACTGACCCTCTTGCTAAGCGAGATGCGCTCTGCAGACTCCCTCACGACGGTTCTGCGGGACTTGTGTTCGACGCGCTCCGACTCCATGCCTCTAGCGAAGAGGTCACGGCGAGCCAGATACCCGGCGCTCTCTTTTGCGCGCGCTTCCTCAGTGTCTGATAGGCCGCTTTCAAACTCATGACTGAGGGGGGAATTATGTTGCATCACATTCACACACCACTTGACTTAAACAAAGCAGTGCAGCATAATACAACATATTACGTCATATACAATACATATACACAAGAGTTACAAACAAAAAATTGAATCACATCTGTGTTCTTTGAGAAAACTTCCAAGACCTTGCTATAGCAACCTCACATCCACCCTTAAAGGTACAGTTCACTCAAAAATGAATATTCTGTCATCATTTACACACCCTCAAAAGATATTTTGAAGAATTTTGGTAACCAAACAGTTGCTGGTAAAAAAAATAAAAATACTATGGAAGTCAATGACTACCATCAAATATTTGGTTACCAACATTCTTCAAAATATCTTCTTTTGCATTCAACAGAAGAATGAAAGTCATACAGGTTTGGAACAACATGAGGGTGAGTAAATGATGACAGAATTTTCATTTTTGGGTGAACTATCCCTTTAATATAAAGGCTCATTGCAGCAAATTTTCTTACCAAGAGCCATTCTGGCTATATAGTATTCATGTTTCTTCTCAATGTTAAATTATATGTTCCGTCAAAGGCTATCCCTTGTAAAAAAAGAAGTACACTTAATTACTTAATGTGCATTTTACATAATGTTTTAGTAATCTTTTGTTGTTCTTAACGGTACACTTATTTACTAAATACTAAAGCACGTCAGAATTTATATTTCTTGACACACTTAAGTACACTTTTAAAAAGTGCACTTTGTAATAATGTCAAATAAAACATTTTAATTGAAAGGATATTTTTAATGTTTTAATAATCTTTTATCATGTTTTAAAGAAGTGCACTTATTTGAAGTGTTGATAGATATATTAAAGAACATATAATTTTAACAGTAGTCTGTTATTCGATATTACATCTAAAGTTAATATATTGTACTAAATTGCAACTTCATCATTACAGATGTGTAATTACAAATATATTTAAATAGATGACATACAGGTTTCAATAGAAATGACATTAAAGTATATTTTAGGTTCCATAAATGCTTGTCAGTGCATTCGGCAGCACTTTAATCAGATTTTAAATACAATAGAAGTAATTATTAGATTGCATATAAAGATGTACTTAAGTGGGTCAAAAGACACTGTAAAGTTCAACTAATTGCATTTAATATAAATTTAAAATATAATACATTTTCATTTAATTGCAGCTACTAACATGCAGTTAAGTGTCTGAAAACATTACATTCAGTTTGCACTTAAGTATGTTCTTTTACAGAATGTTATTTCAGTACTTTTTAAAAGTATGCTCAAGTGTACTTCTTTTCACAACAGTTAAAGAACAATGCTAAAACGTTTCTTCAATGGGATCTGACTGTAAAATGATACAGTATGTGGAGACTTTTTTTTTCATTGTAAGTGTATAGGGCTATAAATAGGATATTATTGAAGTGCTTACTAATACCAAACACATGCTAACAATAGAAAACATGACGTATGGAACAGCTGCATGTGTTTTTTCCAACACTAACAAAACCCAGATTGTTTCTTTACCTGCCCCTGAAGATGGGCACCACATAACCGATGATCTGGTTCTCCTTGTCCATGGCCAGATAGGTTGGTTTGGCTCTCTTGGGCAGAGGGCTCAGCCCACCCTCATCTAGAGCCATGTATGTGGCAGCTCTGATGCTGCAATGGTGCAGAAATTGCAACATATACACACGTGTGAGTATCCAGCACTTAGTTCACACGCTATTATGAGTTTTAGAAGGGGTGTGGAGTCATGAAGAAAAGATGTTAGGTTGAAAAACGTCTAAGATTGCAGATAGTTAAGGGAGTGAGTGGGAAGGAGGTTAATCACCTCAGTGGTCCTGAATTACAACAAATCACCAATAAAAGCTTCCTCAGTGCTCAAAAGTATGGAGTAGTAGAACCTTGCGTCCGGTTCAAGGCACTGGATCTACAACCTCCTATATACACACTCTTACATCTATCTATAAACTTTCACATTCACTGTCTTTCAATGGGATGCTTTTTAGTGCCCAATCTCCAAAAAAAAAACATTTGAGATTTTTTTTCTACTCCTTACTAAACAAATCAACAAAAAAACAGCATATTTCAGGATATAGTTACAGGATATTCAATCCTTAAGTGCACTTAATTGTTTTAAATTCACACTTATAGTGTACGTCCAATTTTAGAAGTATATATTTTAAAACTCTACTTGCAGATAATATAATAAAATAAAAGGCCACTTAAGTGACTTAAAGAGAGACACTTTCATGACTGTTTCTTAACACACTTAAGTACACTTTTAATAAAGTAATGACGTCAAAATTAAGTTTTATCTTAATGTGCATTTTACATCATGTTTCTTAAGTACACTTTTTTTAAAGGGCCTTTGTAATAATGTCAAATAAAAATTTACTTCAAGTACATTTAATCATTACATTTAATAAACATCATGTTTTTATAATCTTTTGCTGTGCTTTAAATAAATACATATTTTGATATGTTGACTAACATAAAGCACTTGATGATTAATATTACATTTAATATATATATTAATTGTACTAAATTACAATTTGATAATTACAAATGTGTAACTACAAATATATTTAAATACATGACATACAAGTTTCAATAGAAATGGCATTAAAATACATTTTAATTTACCATAAATGCTTGTCAGTATTTTCGGCAATGCACTTTTAATTATTTCAAAGACAATAGAAGTAATAATGAAATTGCATATAGAGATGCTATTAAGTCCTACTTAAGTGGGTCAAAAGAAGCACTCTAAAGTTCAGCTAATTGCAGTTAATCTAAATTTGAGCTATAATACATATTAATTTAGTCTCCAAAAGTCTCCAAAAGCATTACACTGAGTTCATACTTAAGTATATTCTTTTAAAATATATTATTTCTGTAATAAGTACTGTTTTTAAAAGTATGCTAGAGTGTACTTCTTTCTCACAAGAGTTCATAGATATTCAGCATGATATTCAATGTGAAATAAATTTAAGGAAGAACTTGAACTTGACCGTCAAGTCTTGTTTTCCATTAGACTGTAAATCTGAGCCCTGTTTCCCTGCTCCTTTGTGTGTATTACCATCCCACTTGCTCTTTGGATTATACTGCTCGGATTTACATAGTGTGTGTGTGTGTGTGTGTGTGTGTGTTTGCATAGTGCGTTTACATCCTGATTCCTCTGCTTCTGGTCCGTCATTACACTCATGCCTTTAGATGACATACACCCTTCATATATCCTTCACCTATCACTATCTTCTCCAGGCCTCTCACAAGTGTGTGTATAAATAGACATTCAAGAGTTCAGGAGAGAGAGGGTGGGGAGCACTTAGGACCGTTAAAGTGATCCAAAACTAAGACTGGGATTGGACAAAAACTGTATTCCCCTAGCATGGAAAAACTTTCAGTTTGCCACATTTAGCAAAGACAATTGGGAGCATGTGTATCATTGGATAACATGATTAATGGCACAGAAACTGAAGCCTGTGAGCCAACCTGCCATCCTGTGACACTCCATATCCTGCTTTAATCCTGTACAGCACAGCAGCTCATAAAAGCGGGATCTGTTCAGGCTAAAAACAACTGTTTCAACAAGCTCTGTGTTTAGCATTCAGAGCATTTGTCCACAAAATGATAACAGCCAAAGGACAGATCTGTCTGTACGCTCTTAAAAATAAAAGTTCTTTATTGGCATTGATGGTTCCATGAAGAATCTTAAACATCCATGGAATCTTTCCATTCCACAAAAGGTTCTTTACGGTGGAAAAAGATTCTTTGGATTTTTTTCAAATGTTCTTTACACTAAGAAAAATGGTTCTTTTTAGAATTGTTAAATTACAATTAAAAGGTTCATTGGATAAACCAAAAATGGTTATTATATGGCATCACTGAGAACACTTTTCTCTTTAGGAACCTTTATTTTGAAGAGTGTATCCTGGTTATGCAATCCACACCCTCTTTTTCTAAATTGCCAAAAATGTCCGGGGTTTTTTTCTTTGTTTTCCTATTGTTTTCATACTTGTCGGTGAGTAAATGTGAAAAGTACACTCTCAGAAAAAACGGTACAAAAGTTGTCACTGGGGTGGTACCTTTTCAAAAGGCACACCTTTGTACCAAAAGAGTCCATAATGGTACCTAAAAGGTACAAAAGTGTACATTTTGAAAAGGTACCGCCCCAGTGACAACTTTTGTACCTTTTTTTCTGAGAGTGTAGTTTGACCAATAGCGTGCAGGCATTCTACATAACTGACCAATCGTGGCATGTGAGAAGGCGGGATCTACAGAGAACGGACAAAGCAATGCAAATATGCGTGTATATATATAATGTTTGATGACTGTAGAGAGCACATCAATAAAGGAAAACAAAGACAAACTTGGACATTTTAGGCAAAAAAAGAGAGGATGCATAGTCACCCTAACTTTGGATTGGATGGATTTGGAAAACAAGTGGTCAATAACACAACACAACCTTACATTTATATTTATTCAATCTCAAGAAAAAGTTTGAGAAGTTTTGCTAATGTACAAACTTTCCAATTTTACCAGTTGTCAGATTTGGAGGATAACAGTCTAGAATAGAGAGGAAAGAAAAGAACACTTAATTAACTTGTTAAACTTGATCATTTATTTGTTTTCTTCATTTAGTTATCTTTTCTTGTTATTTTATTTGGCACAATTATCAAAAAAAGACTAAATGAATTCTGAAACTATATTAAAACCCAGGATAGCCATATTTTTACATTGCATTTCTCTCACAAAAATTGTTTACATGTCTCATTCTGTTCCTGCTCTGCAAGTGGAGGTGCTAAATTTTAGGCTAACTGAACAATATGGATATCCGACTGCAAAACTATAGGAAGAGAAGATAGTGGGTATCTATGCAACTCTGAAAAGGAGACCGTTTCATTTGCATCTATTCTTTTTATCCTTTGAATTTAAGTAATTGACCATTTTTTTGATACGATATAGTGGAAAACATTCATGTATTTAAATAAAAATTATGCATTGGCAGCCTGTTGGCACCTTGTGTCTGTGTCTAGATAAAAAAGTGAACTCTGCGAGTATGTTATTAAGACGGTTTTCATTGTGCTATAAGAATCTAATCAAATACACTTTCAGCATCTGCTCTCTCTTTAACTCTAAATCCCACACAGATACACACAGCGCAAATGTAAATGCATAATGCATGTGACACACATAACAACATCTACTTCTGTAGCCTCTATAAATACACCATGACGTCAAGAACACCAAATGAAGTGGCGAGTTATGTTATGAATGCTATTTATATTACGACATGAAACCAAGTGTTGAAGAAACTAATTAAATCATGACTGAGCCTTGCAAGATTTCAATTTGTGCAAGTTGCTGTAAGATTCTTGAGGCTGCAGTTACATTAGTCCCTTTACAAGACACACAACTTACGCTCTGACATTCAGAGTGACCCAGTAAGCAACTGCCGGGACAAAAAACGAGCCAGAGGGAGTACATCAAACTAAATACAGGCACAAATCCAAACCACAGAAAGGCTTAAAAAGATTCACAGCAAGTTTTGAATCAAGAAGCACTCTAGGAACCAAACTTAAGTGGTAAATACTGTAAATGTCTGACTGTCAGTCATTAAAACTCAACCAAAAGTCCTCTATATTGCGATTCCCCCTCCCCAACTCCAATGACAATATTCTGTAAAAAAACAAAACAAAACACCAATATGCCAAAGGTAAAGCCAATATACCAAACCCATATATCATGAAGTGAGTGTGATCTGTCAACAGTGTCAACAACAAGCACACTGCATGCAGAAAACACATATAAACGGCATGTTTTAAGGATGGTTTTGGTTGAAATACAGATTAGACAAAACAAGAGGGACAACAGTAGTGGGTCATTTTTGTGTTCGGGTGAAGGATAAGTGTATTATAAGGCATCAGGAAGAGCTGGCTGCTGGAATGAGTTCAGGTTATGGGACTGGGAAGGATTTACTGTTGATGTGATGGACCTCGCCATGCTCTCTTACCCCTTGGTGCTTTTGCTGCTATGTGAAGAGTAAGTATTAGAGCTCTGCTGGTATTGGCTGATAGCAGACTCCGTCTCTCGGCTACGGTAGCCGCGATCATAATGGCGGTGGTGTTTCTGGTAGAACGGTATCGATCCTGACATTGTCTTCAGTTCTCAAGCTCTTTTAGTCAGAAGATTCAAAACTTTCTATCAACACATTAAATATGCGTATTACACCCAGTGATTTGTCAGTAATCATTTCACAGGCAGGATTTATCAGTGCTTTAACATCACAGTCAATTTTTCAAACTAGTCAGCTGGTGCATTTTTATTTTGGAATTCCATTAACATTGTTTAATAAAAAAAACTCTGTTTGTTTGTTTTTGTTGATTTTTTTTTTACGGCAATACAATCTGACTTAAAATATATATACAAAGTTCAGCCTTCATAAATAATTTCTGAACCATAAATAATTTTTAGTCATCAGCTTTACCATGCATATAAGTAGCCTATAATTATATATATATATCAGCAGCTCTAGCTCTAGCAAATACAATAAAACCAGCTAGTGTTATGACAACAGTGAACTTTTTAATGAAATAGTGACTGCAGGGTTACACTATTCTCAGGACAATATTTTTAATGTTAAGTTGTCACGCATTTATGGTATAATTTAAAACAGTTTATTCATTATATTATTTTCCATTGGCCAAAACTATGGTCGATGTTATGTTTGCATGTTGTCATGTACAGTTTTGCTGTTTCATAATTGCTTTGGTGTTTAAATATCGCGGAAATAGTCTGTACCTGTGAAATGCTGTGCAGACGGCTTTTTAAATATTAAATCAGTATCAAGAAAGCATCCTGTTCCCATTGGCACCCCATGCAAAGTGACAAGTTAAGTAAATCTATACTCAATCCTATTTTTGTTGTTGTTGTTCAGCACTAACCTCAGTCTTTCCTATAGCTACGGGTTTAGAATGAATTGTATAATCCACAAGATTCACAAAACATCTTCTATTTCACCTGACAGGCTTCGTGCGTTCACGCAGCGGATCATCTCACCTTGCCAAAGGTCTGCAAGCAGCTCAGAGCCGGACCGCAGAGCAGCGCGTCAGGAGCCCAACCAAGATCCAAATCCAAGCAAAGACGCAAACTGGCGCGGCGCTGTGAACGGGAGCTGCTGTCCACACATCAAAAATAATATTGGCGATGGCAGGAATGTCCAAGCGACTGTCACGACCTTTTATGGCGACAGGGGCCGTTAAATATAGCCGTAGTGCACAGTAGTATCGGCGCATTTACACTGCGCGTTCTGTACCTCATAACGAGTTAAAGACACTGGTGTTAGTTTATATGGGTGCCATTTACAGTATATAAAAAAGTATGAATGTTTTTGGCTATTACATAAGAAATAGCCTAACCAAGTGGCGTTTATTTAGTGAATGATATACTGTACACAACGCCTTTTTCAAACAAAAAAAAAATCAGAAAAAAGAAAGAAAAAACACGTTTGCGTTACATTCTAAAACATACACTGTTAAAAATGAAGACAAAGTGTTGTCACACATGGTTGTTAAATGTTCGTGGAAAATGTCCATATTTAGGGTTAGGGTGATGAACAACATGTCCAGCAAAGTTTTCTACAGCTTAACCAGAAATCTCCTGCCTGGAAAAAGTTAGTACACCCATCCCCAACATTTATCCCTGCATAAAATGCCTGCGATTTAACTCAAGCCAACCGATTACAAGAACATCATTGATAATAAATGCCCAACCTTATATAAATGTCAATAAAGTCTGGTTTTGTCATAAGATTTGAAGTGGTACTGTCATGCAGGTCAAAAGAGCTGCCTCAGAGTCCTTCAGAAGGAGTTAATGTTGGAAAGGGTTTTAAACCCACTTAAACACTATTCATAATTATAATGTTCTTCTTCTACTCCGTCTTCTTCTTGTAGAACTAGAATCAGTTTTGTAAAAAGTTTTTAAAGAAATAGAGGAGGGCTGGAGCTTCAATCTGACCATTTTTTGAGGTTGGTCTTCCAAACCCACTAGCGCCACCAATGGGTCAAATATGTTTACGCTATTAGTTTTAGAACTGCTTGGTTAATAGTTGTGAAAATTGGCAAAGAGATAAAAGAGGGTTGGAGCTTCAATCTGACCATTTTTGAGGTTGGTCTTCCAAACCTTCTAGCGCCACCAGCGGGTCAGAGTTTCACTGATATTTATGCTATAACTTTTGAACTGTTTAATAAACAGTTGTGAAAATTAGCACAGTGATAGAGGAGGTTTGGAGCTTCAATCTGACCAACTTTGAGGGCTTTCTTTCAAACCCTCTAGCGCCAACAATGGGGCAAATTTGCACTGATGTTTATGCTAATAACTTTCGAACCGTTTGGTAAAACTCAAGCCAACCGATTACAAGAACATCATTGATAATAAATGCCCAACCTTATATAAATGTCAATAAAGTCTGGTTTTGTCATAAGATTTGAAGTGGTACTGTCATGCAGGTCAAAAGAGCTGCCTCAGAGTCCTTCAGAAGGAGTTAATGTTGGAAAGGGTTTTAAACCCACTTAAACACTATTCATAATTATAATGTTCTTCTTCTACTCCGTCTTCTTCTTGTAGAACTAGAATCAGTTTTGTAAAAAGTTTTTAAAGAAATAGAGGAGGGCTGGAGCTTCAATCTGACCATTTTTTGAGGTTGGTCTTCCAAACCCACTAGCGCCACCAATGGGTCAAATATGTTTACGCTATTAGTTTTAGAACTGCTTGGTTAATAGTTGTGAAAATTGGCAAAGAGATAAAAGAGGGTTGGAGCTTCAATCTGACCATTTTTGAGGTTGGTCTTCCAAACCTTCTAGCGCCACCAGCGGGTCAGAGTTTCACTGATATTTATGCTATAACTTTTGAACTGTTTAATAAACAGTTGTGAAAATTAGCACAGTGATAGAGGAGGTTTGGAGCTTCAATCTGACCAACTTTGCGGGGCTTTCTTTCAAACCCTCTAGCGCCAACAATGGGGCAAATTTGCACTGATGTTTATGATAATAACTTTCGAACCGTTTGGTAAAAAGTTGTGAAAATTGGCATAGAGATAGAGAAGGGTTGGAGCTTCAGTCTGACCAATTCTGTGGTCTGTCTCAGCCTTTTAGTGCCACCAATGAGTCAAAATTGCACAGATTTTACATTAAGACTTTTGAACTGTTGGCCTGCAAGGCACCAAATCTCTTGAACAAAGCCGAAAGCAAGGACATTTCAAGCAATAAAACCTTATCAGATACAGATAATAAAGGGCTTGAGAGCACCTCTAACACCACTGACAGATCCCAGACAGGAATGTGATTCAGGCGAAAATGCCAAAGCCTGTAACACATGAGAGACAAAAGAGTGTTACCAGAGTCTTATCATCTACTCACTCGCCCTCATGTTGTTCCAAACCGATAAGACTTTTGTTCATCTTCGAAACACTAATGTGGATATTTTTCCATTTCAAAATTTCTGTTTCTGTCCACTGAGAGTCTATTCACCCAAAACACTGGTGCTGCAAAAACTCCATAAAGACATTGTAGAAGTAATCCATATCAATCATGCGGTTTAATCCAAGTCTTCTGAAGAGACACTATTGCTTTATATGATGAACAGATTTAATTTAGGCTTTTATTTACATATAAACATTGATCAACACACATAAATAGAGAACATCTAATATGGTAAACTGACGCTCAACACGCACTTGCTTGACATGTGAGAAGCAATGCGGATTCTTCTCGCGTGTCAAGAAGGTTGAGTTCGGGTTCATTTGATGTCAGAGACTGGCAAGCAAAGGTGGAGGGGAGCCTAGATACTTACTGGGTCCACTGTATGTATTTATATTATACAAGCAAACTATACTTTTCCGGTTTGTCCATGGAGAAATGGTTAGATTACCTTTATAAGCCTCTGACCTTGTTTTCAAAGGCCTTTATCTCAGCTGTGGTCTGGACTAACAATAGCCATGTTATTGTTATCCCCCCTCACATACAACACATACCAGCAACAATGTGTGTGTGTGTGTGTGTGTGTGTGAGAGAGAGAGTTATTTCTATGTGTTTTTGTTTTTTCTGTTGTCAGTCTGGCACCATTTATGCATATCTGTTAGACCTGCGTGAGACAATGCAACATGCCTGCCACGCAAGTTTGGAATAATTAAGATTTTTTTAAATGTTTTGAAATAAGTCTCTTATGCACACAGAGGCTGCATGTACTGGATTTGTTAAAAACTACAGTAAAACAGTAATATTGTGAAATATTAATACAGTAATTCATGCAACTATTTTCAGTTTTTTTCTATTTTAAAATAATGCTTCAGAATCATTGTAAAATGCTGAAGTGTTACCCATAATACCGAAATTGCATTATACAAAAATTCATTTATAGGGATATTTATTTTTTCATATGTCATAATTTTGAATGCCTCCTTACATGTACACTCTAAAAAATGCTGGGTTGTTTCAACCCAACTTTGGGTCAAAGATGGACTAACCCAGCTGTTGGGTTAAATTTTTTTATTACATTTTTAACCCAAAAGTTGGGTTAGTCCATATTTGACCCAAAGTTGGGTTGAAACAACCCAGCATTTTTTAGAGTATAATATAGAATTATGTGCAACTATCGGAAAAATATAGTTTGGTCCTATACGAATAATGACTTAAATTCCATCTTTTAAAATGAATATTTTACACACGCTTACAGCACAAGTACTCTCTCTTGTGGCCATACAGTATAAAGCAATGCTGCATACACTCCTGATTAATGGTAGTGCATAACTAGTGTCACGCCCTTGAGGAAGCACACAGGCCCACTCAGATTTTGAGACTGAATTTTGGATGCAGCTTCCAAAAAAGGATATTTATATCATTGAAGTTGCATGGATTTGGTGGCATTAACACCGTGGCAGAAATCACACATGCAGGTCTAAATCTCAGCTGCTGCTGTTATACTTCTCCAAACTCGACTTTTTCCTGTGGGGCATAAAAATGATTTTTTTATTAAAATAAGGTTTTGTCAATATAGTTGCAATCAATCAATCAATCAACAAACAAATAAGTAAATACATACATACACCATGCACCTGATTCTTCGGACATGTATGATGCATGCTAATAGTTTACAGTTCAAAATGTACACTTTTTAATGTACTTTCACTGTAAAACAATAAATAAAATAAAAATTAAATCCACTTGAAATTCGTTCAATGGCTGCATCCCAATTTTGTACAACACAGTAATAAGTTAATTGGACTTCATATGATCTATTTGAAGTGATTCCGAAAGTCAAGTTTAAACTCCATAAAAGCGAAGGGAGTAGACGCAATTGGACAGAAATGTGTCCAGTTATTTTACATTTATGGAAATAAAGATGTTGTTATAATGACAGACACTTAGGCTAATTCATTTGAATTCCATTTTAACAGCCTAATAAATTATTAAAAATAATAAGTCACCTTTGCTTTGATCGCTGAGGGCTTACAGACAACATATTGAGGCTTTTTTCAATGAAGGTTTACATACAAATACTTAACTGTAAAGTTACTTTGATACAGTTTACATTTTTGAAAGCATTTTTAATATATATATCTATATATCTATTTCTATATCAGCAGTGTTGGGGGTAACGCATTACAAGTAACGCGAGTTACGTAATCAGATTACTTTTTCAAGTAACTAGTAAAAGTAACATTACTTTTTACAATTTACAAGAAAATATCAAGTGTTATTAACTTATCAAGTTAAAAATAAGTGACAAGTTACTTTTTCACATTTATTTACTGACACCTCCCCTAACCCTGTGTTGAGAGAAACAGGGAGAAAGGTGCAGAGGCACATCCGTCAATCTGAAGCCAATTAATTTCATTTTTGGTGTGAAAGAAACTTTACAGTTGCCAAAAATATAACTTTTGGGATTTCTGTTATTAAAAATAAATAAGCAAGCCAAGCTCAGGTGACAAAAAGTAACGCAAAAGTAATGCAATGCATTAGTTTCCATAAAAAGTAACTAACATAATTAGTTACTTTTTATGGAGTAACTCAATATTGTAATGCATTCGTTTTCAAAAATAACTTTCCCCGACATTGCTTGCCAAAATTCACTGGGGGGTACCATTTAATAACGGTAATTTTAGATTACCTTTCAGATGTATTTAATTATAAAACCCTTAATAATCTATAATAACTTATTTCATATTTTATCTAAACCTTCCTGGATATTAAGACAATTCTGGCCAAATGAAAGATACGTTGTGTGTGTGAATTTGCACGTTATAATGTAAGCATCATTAATGACCCATTTTTCTTAAAAAAAAAGAAAAGAAAAGAAGATTAATTAGTGAAATGAAAGAATGATTTAATAAAAAATCTGAATTAGTAATCGTCTCTAATTGGCCTGTTTAGCTAAGCCCTCAAAACACTTCTTATTTAGTGGTACAGTACTGCATGATTTGTAGATTATATTTAATAGTTTACACTTTGCATAAACGTTTACAATTCGTTTTTAAAAGGTAACATTACATTCTCTACGCCGCTTACATTTCTTTTCAAGAGCACTTGTGCTCCTGCTCAAAAAAAATTAAATAATTGGGAACAACTTCTGATGAATGACAGAAATTAACCTTCCTATTATAAGGCGATATTTGACTCCTTAAAAGTTTTTTTTTAAACCTTTGTAATGCCTTTGACTTTATTAAATGTACGCCATCTTTTGTGCCAAAAATTTTTTATAAATCTAAAACCAATAAATTCAATTAAAATAATAAGATACAATCAGGAAGAATAAGTTAACCTACTAGTCAAATTAAATCAGCATCAACAATTCATCTTTGCATGGCACAGAAGAGCACAGATGTGGCATTACAGACTTTTTGACAAGACTCAATGTATTTCATAATAACAATGTTATGAAATTAATGTTTTAAATATAAAGTTTTGAATGTAGAAATATTAAATTTAAATGACTCAATTTATACTTTAAAATTACACTGAAACCACCAGTAGGTGGCAGCAAGTCACTGTCTTTGTCACTGAATCATTCATTCAATCGATTCGTTCAAATGGCTGATTCATTTA